ACGTGATTACAATTTTACGATAAAACGTGTTTTTTACTGACATACAACGCAGTTTTCACAGATTGCCGGAGACAATTACATTTCATCTTTCTTTTCCTTTTTCTATGACTTTATATTTACAGACCATGATATAAAGTATAAATTCTATGCTCAGATTAACGAATAATTGTTTCTGTCCTCAGAAAATAATGTTCGAAATACTTGGACCATAGATACTAGTATTATTGGTAAATAATCAAAGATTTCAGATATACGTTCAAAAGACAACAACCAAAACGACCATAAAACTAAAATAAAGCTAGTTGTACTTGCATTCAGATTTCCAAAACGGGAGGCTCCGAACTTTTAAGTCATCTCGTAAAAAAGGCTAAGCGAGTATCTGATATCCGTAAAATGCAATCAAAAAACTTTTTCTTTGTCAAAGGATATAATAGCATGATAGTTTGCCTTCTTTTGTCGTTGCAAAGGTCAATAAAACTCAATTTTGTCCTTGCAAAAATAGATATCCTCAGAGATCATCAGAAAATGATTTCTAGTGTTGCCTATGTTTTCTAATGAACATTGTACTATCATTGTTTTATTCTTAATACCTATTGTATCAGTAATTGTAAGTCCATTCCTTAACCCTCAGTTTTTTAAAACTAGAAAGACCTCACATAAATGAGAATTAATGCTCATAAATTAGCTATTGAGCAGGGTCGTTATAGAAAGATTGACAAACATATAAGAATTTGTAAATCTTTTTCTTTAAATTCAACTGATGATGAAATATCCAGTAATCGAACAACAAGAAGTTATATACAGAAAACAGATTTATTTGGCTATACTTTCATGTGAACTTGAAGAAATATGCAACACAGTAGCTTTTATTTGACTGTTATAAATGTTTTACAATAAGAATAGGTGCTCTTACTCGACAAAACACGCAGTTGATAGTTTCACAAAAGAAAAATATGTTCACATAAACCATACACAAACACTATAAGATATGATGACTATGTACAACACTTGTCGTAAACCATACACAAACAGGATAGGATATAATGACTGTGTACAACACTTGTCATAAACCATACCACAAACAGGATATGATATGATGACTGTATACAACACTTGTCATAAACCATACCACAAACAGGATATGATATGATGACTGTGTACAACACTTGTCATAAACCATACACTAACAGGATAGGATATGATGACTGTGTACAACACTTGTCATAAGCCATACACAAGCAGGATAGGTAAATAGGACATGATGACAGTGTACAACACTTGTCATAAACCATACACAAACAGGATAGGATATGATGAAAGTGTACAACACTTGTCATAAGCCATACACTAACAGGATAGGATATGATGACTGTGTACAACACTTGTCATAAGCCATACACAAGCAGGATAGGTAAATAGGACATGATGACAGTGTACAACACTTGTCATAAACCATACACTAACAGGATAGGATATGCTGACTGTGTACAACACTGTTCATAAACCATACACAAACAGGATAGGATATGACGAAAGTGTACAACACTTGCCATAAACCATACACAAACAGGATAGGATATGATGACTGTGTGTACAGCACTTATTTCTGAAATAACCTTCATCAGGTACAAAAAATGTACGCCTGAGAACAATTTTTTTAAGAACTAGAAATAATTAACATACGACATATATCATTTAAATACTGTAGAAGTGGCTATTGTGTCGTGGCGGCTGTAGTCATTTTTGCGCCAATTGTTAATTTTACGATCCATCATTTGCGTCAAATATCACTTTTCAAAGGCATCGGATTAAACGTCCCAGTTTTGATTTGACGAGGGTGCGTATTTATACATCCCGCACAACCAAACGGACACCCCAGTTTGGTAAGATTTGTACTACCGGTTAGAAGAAGACCAAAGGTGACCATATTTCTATTTATATATTTGAAAGAAAAATGAAGAACATTGCAATTTATCAGTGCAAGAGAATGATATGTTTACGTTTTATAAAGGAAGAACTATTTTGACCGAATTTCCTAGAGATATCTCGTAGTAGTTCTTTTAGTGTGGCCACTCAACAGCCAGTTTCTTTCAAGTTAAGTTATGTTTATATATCAATTTAGAATCAAATAACAACATCAACATATCTTTTAAACTATCTAATTGAAATTAAGAATAATTTCTCAATGCACTTGACCTAGGTGTATCTGACATCTTGATATCTATTGAACGTCGCAAATACTTGCAATTAACGTACTAAGTGTTTGCTTACTACACATATAAAATTAAGTCTTCCTGTTTTACATGTTCTTCCTTCATCAATTTTATCTCGATCAAACGTGCAATTGCATCTTAGCAAAGATTTGTGCACGTGGGTGTATGACATGATAAGCTGTCGAAGAAGAAACGAATATATTATTCCATTAATTTCACATGCATTCACATTAGGTTATTCATTTATAATTTTTCAAATTTTTCCATAATTTTCTATATTCAGTTATTGATATTAAATATGATATGAAATCATCTTTTTGTTATAACTTCATAAAATTTAATTTTCTATATAGAATATCAATGAGTGTTGCCTAGACCAATGCCTCGAATTTGATACTGAAGATTAAACATTAAGACTTAGACAATTGAGCAAGCGTATTGAATTGTACAAAATATATAAGGCCAACCTTAATCTTTTTTTTATCTTTATATTAAGAGAAATGGTCTTCATTGATGATGCAAATAACACAAACGCCACAGCAATATACCGGCGACCTCTAGTGTCTACTTTTTGATATTTTTATATATGCCTGCTTAAAACATTCTTGATGTTACCTGCACACATTTTTTTTACAAAAATGGCCAGCAGTATTTCAGCCCTGTTCTCTTGTTTTGGCTTTTACATTATTTCCTGCAAAATGAACTATTAAATGTATTGATGTGTTTCAATGTTTCTGAATATTTATGTTATGATGTTTGCTTCTGCATTTTACACATGTCACAATGAGAATTGTCATGTAATTTTATAAAGGAAATTTTGTTTCAGAGAAAAGTGCCTGTAGTTATAGACCTTTATTTGTTAAGTAGTAATCCGCATCTGTGGTCTTTAATGTACAAATATAACAATGCCAACGTAACAAATAACTCAACTAAATTCAATTATCGAACTTGTACTGAGTCGTCGTAAAACTTAGGATTCGGTGAGGTAATTCGTGCTTATACAATGAAATACATGAGGTTCTGACTGCATCCTCTGTCGATATTCGTTCATGACATAATGTCAATAAAAAAACCAATGAACTGACAGATTTGAAAAGGCTACATCTGTTTTTTAATAACACCATTTTTTAGAGCAATTTGTATCTTCTGTCGCTGCAATATAGAACTACATTCCCGCTACTCATTGGTACTGCATTTTATTTTCATTCTAAGTAGTTACTTTACACAAACTGTGATCAGAAAGGTGAATTATGAAAAAACTAAAATCTTGAGAAATTTCAATTGAAATTTGTGGATCCCAAATTATTTACCAAAGTTCATATGCAAACTCGATTCTGATTGGTTGTATTTCCTTTTCCAATATTAGCTTTTTAGAAAAGAGCGGCGAAAGGTATCAAAGGAAAATTCAAACTCGTAAGTCGTAAACGAACGGACAATGCCATAACAAAAAAAGATTGATTGATTGATTGTTGGTTGTTTAACGTCCAGTGGCAAATATTTCAGCAAAACAAAAACGACAAAAAGACAAACAACAGGCTATTTAACACAACATAGTAAAATAGAGACTGAACTACACGAACCTCACCCAAACCGGGGGTGATCTCAGGTGCTCCGGAAGGATAAGAAGATCCTGTTCCACAATTTTCTTTAAATGTTTTGCTGCCACTGGTTTAAATGCTTTACTTGTACAAATGCTAATATCATGAAAAAAAAAATAAAAATGAGCCAGTAAGACGAACAAAAATACGAACAAAAACAAATACTCCCTACCCCTCCCCCCAAAAAAAAAACCTGTAAAAAACAACAACACAAAAGCAAAAAAAATACCGGACAAAGGGAACACGCCATACCATTCGTTTTATTAAACGAACCTCAGGTTATAAATATTTAAAAACAAGAATTTGTCCATAGTACACGGATGCCCCACTCGCACTATCATTTTTTATGTTCAGTGGACCGTGAAATTGGGTCAAAACTCAAATTAGGCATTAAAATTAGAAAGACCATATCAAAGGGAACATGTGTACTAAGTGTCAAGTTGATTGGACTTCAAATTCATCAAATACTACCTTCACCAAAAACTTTAACCTTAAGCGACCAAAAACTTAAACCTGAAGCGGGACAGACGGACGAACGGACGGACGGACGAACGGATGAACGGACGCACTGACCGAAAAACATAATGCTCCTAGGTGGGGCATAAAAAGTGTATTTAAACAAATAAGTACTTAAGCATTAATCAAATCGTTGTGATGCATCTTTGGTCAAATTTATAATCCTTTATCAGAAGAATCAAAGGCTAATATTCTATTTTGCTGAATACAAAGTGCTTTTGATTACTAACTTTCGAGTGAAATAACTTCCGGAAAGGAGTATAAAAGATCAGGAGTCAGTAAAACAACCTATACAAAACAAAAAAAAAATCGTACCGAAACAAAACACTTTGAAGGCTCATGACTTGTACGAGTTTTTATATTTATATTTGAGTCACAATGGAAAAAATATAACGTCAGAATGGCCATGCATGAAATCAAAGATTCAGGCGAAAAAAGAAATGTTTTTTTTTTTTTTTTTTTTTGTTTTTTTTTTTATCTGTGCAAGAATACAGTATAAAGCATAAAGTGTTGTATAGTTTTCATTTCAGTTCTTTTTACATCATGACTACTACGTTTTTCATTATAAGAACAAATTTTATATTTGAAGTTTGATATGTTTTCATATTTCTATAAATGTACGAGTTTACTGAACACGTGTCAAATCTTTAAATGCGCATGTCAGCCACTTATTCTGAATCATATTTAAACCTTTTAGACATTCATTCTAAATGTGAGATTATTCTGATTGCCAAACGTATTTCAAGGAAATATATTAACATGAAACTTTATGGATTTGCGGTAAGATATTTTCCATTGTTATTTTTTGCTCAAAACTTTAATGAGGTTCTTAAATATTTCTATTTTCATTTATTTGCATTTTATTTCAGTCGGCTTGATATATTGTATAGATATTTGTATATTTTTGAAAACCATATATCAACCTCTTGTATTTGGTTTCTGTGTCGTTGGGTCGCTGTCTCATTAACGTTTACACATCATATCCTTTTAATCAGAATACCGTCTTCAACATTTGAAGTGTCTATTCAACTTGTCAAGCATTACATCCAACCCAAGTCTAGATATTTAAAAAAAAAAAAATTATTAATACCGCAAACGGAAAAAAAATGTTTTACCCGATAATGTAAAAATGCTTTATTTGATTGCATGCCACATGTATCGAATGGAAAAGTTTTTGAGAATTTTTTTTCCCCCGTCATTATTTCACTTACAGTGTCAATATAGGAACATTTAAAAAAAATCACTCGAGAAAAAGGACGGACAATGTCATTCTCAAATTATCAACTTAGTGGTCTTTTAATTAAGTTTAGCTGTGTTTTTGATCGTTTATTTGTAAATCTTTCCACTCTATTATTTCTTATTTTTAAATCAGTTTAAGAAAACATCGTTTCATTGTTTATCAACCCCTAATACCTTTATGTGTTACAGCTGTTTTGGATACTAGCTGTTCTCTTTGTGGAACAATCAAATGGTTGCGGACGATCTAGTGAGAGATGTTACGGTAAGAATTTAGTTTACAAATTATACCAAAGAGAGATAGTTAAACTTTTTCAAGCCGATTGTTGTAATAGCTGCACAAATTTGAGATATATTTTATATCATTTTATATATCTGATATCGTTAAAAATAATTTCTAATATTGGTGTGCAAAATTGAGGCAATTGTTACATCCGCCAGTACTACCCGTTTTATAGGATTTAAAGTCGACAGTTACATTTGGTCAAATTTGAAACGTTAAATGTGATGCCTCAAGTATGAGATGATTAAACATTTTGCATAATTAAGTAGTACTCTTTCATAAACCCGAAGATATATCTGATAACAGCAAGATTAAATATTATATTTGTGCTGAAATCTAGTAGGAAGCCCTGTTCACTTTTAAAATTGATTTTCATTATCAATTTATATTTTTAAGTTAAATTAATTTTCTTGCAAGAACTTATCTAAGAAATATTGTGTCATATATAGCAATGAATATGTTTGTAGTAGCTATGAGCCAGTATCACATTCTTCGTTTAGGATTTATCACAAAATGCGACACTGAATTTTTACATGTACTAGCAACATACTGATTCGTTAAAAATGTTTCAAACGTTTTTATTACAATTTAGTAACGTCTTCAGTTCTACAGTTCTATATACCATTGTAATCATCTACCATTCTTTCGCAAAAACACTTGTGATCCTCTCACACACTTTTAAGATACATAACCTGTACTAGGAGCTGACGATTGGTTTTTGCAGCTTGACCTTCAGTATGTTATTAAAAAAATACTAAATTATTAGATACGAAGGGTAACTTAAATTTCTAGTACTTGCGGTTTTTATCAAAATAGTTGTCTCGTTGGCGTATATATATATATATAGTTATAAATCATTTCATTACTGATACATTGATTACTCAGCGGAAAATACCCTTAGTGACTTATAGTCCACCAGCAACGGTATCTACCCAGTGCTATAAAAAAAAATGAAAATAACACTTTACAAAGTTTATGCGTTCGAAGCGCCTTTCTGGATTTGCTTTCATCAGGAACGTTCATAGCCAAATATTTGAAAGCCAAGGATTTATAAGTACCGGATCAAGTGCAGAGCTATATGGTCAAAAGGGACCTAGAAAAATATCCAAATCATACAAGATCCACCATGCATGAGAGAGTTTGAACCATTTTTTTTTTAATTTTCAAATTTATAACGAATAATTTAAGTAAAACATGTTATAAATCAGAAATTAGCTATTGAAACAATAACTTTCTTCTGGTCGAATTGAAAGTTGATAAAATTCACTATTCGTTCTGACCATTATAGATATTTTCCTAGTTTAGGTAATAATGAAATGGAATTGTTTTCTTATGTCCAGTAATTTAAATACATTTTATTTGACAGGATATGAAATTGATGAAATAGGTAATTCTTCTAATAACATATGGTCAAATTGATTAGAGGTAGAGAACTGAATGCATATTATAAGACAAAATATAATTCCACAAAAAATTTAGTTAAGAAATTTATTTATTGAAAGTCATGAGAAATATTTTGCAGGTAGTTCCGCAGGATACGGATTCTATTTTGGAACAACTAACCTTGCTTGTTTTAACAGAGGGAAGAGGTCTCCTAGCATATCAACCATCAGACTAACCCATCGATATCTATACTATCGTGGATATTACTATGAATGGACTGGTGTGGGTGGAAAAGCTATCGGTAGAACGGAAGGAATGACATTAATCGGTACATCACCATATCGATCACATTGTAACTCTGAAACTGATTATCCCGCTGCAGGATATGGAGTTCTCAGTTCAACATGTGTCAAAGGATGTGCAAAGTATTTTCAGGCAGCATATTACTTTAATGGGTTGAGCAAAAACTGTCATCATTTTGCTAACTGGTTGGCAAATATTTTGTGCACTAGGTCCACCTGCCCTTCTTACTGTGTTAGATATCAATATGGCTAAAGTAAAATAGTGTTCTATATATTTGAAAGCGAATACTATGTTTAACGAAAGAACACCAATTACAGTTAAATAAAATTATGCTGTCATTTTATAATTTATGCATATGTATATCCAGTAATATTCTACACAAGTGAATACCAATAATATATTATTATATATATATATGTTTAGCTTTGTAATACAGCATTGTTGTTTTTATTTTCTCATAATATTTAGTAAAGCTTTATTTAAATATGTATATCCACATTCATATATTGAAAACATATAAAGCTATCCTCAAAGTAAAACGCATAAACATTTAACACATATTACTAATGTATGTGAAAAAGAGTTTTCTATAAATGTGGACAGTGTAAAATTTTAAAAGAAATTGTTAACATGTAATACAGTTTTGTTGTTATATAAAATAAATCGAATCTTATAAAACAGTTTTCTTTTGAATATTTAAAGAGTGTACATGTTCTTACTTAAAATCCTAAATATTAATATCTTTTCCCTTCTATTTTACCATGAACGTTCAAACTAAGGGAGCTACCATTTGATTTTTAGGATGAAATTTTGAAAAAAATAGGCAGGACAGGAGTTTTGAGTAAAAAATAAAAGGCAGGATGAGACACTTTGCAAACAAAAAATTTATGTAAAAAAAAAGTCAGGATAAACTAAAAAAAAAAAGGTAGGACCGAATAGAGTGAAAAATTAAAAGGCAGGACAGAGATAACGACTAAAAGATAAATGCAGGACAAAATTGTTCATCCTAGCCCCCTCATAAAAATCAAATGGCAGCTCCCTAAGTATTGAAACAAATCTTCCTCTGTCCTTTCATGTGTACAAAAAAAGAGTATTTGAAAACTGAAAAGCCAGTTAACTGCCTCTAAATTTTCGGTTATAAATGTTATTGACAGAATTCTAAAATGAATACATGTAGTCTCCAATGATGAATTTCGTGTCTCCTAAATCATGATATTTCATGGTCCTTCTTGAATAAGTTTGCGAACATTTAGTTTCCAACTCCAAAGCTATAAAGCAATACCAATTTTGCTGTTCGGATGAATATACAGGAGAAAGGCGGAAGATATCAAAGGGATATTCAAACACACAAGTCGATGACGAACGGAAAACGTCATGGCAAAAAAAAACAAAAATCGACCAGAAGACAAACAACAGTATACAAAACACAACACAAGGTACGCTAATACATGTATTAACTAGCTATAAAACCAGGTTGAACCCACTGTTTCTTAAGAAAAGTAATGTACCAAGTCAAGATTCGTTTCGCTGGTTCATATAGTCAAGCGTTCGATTTGGTCAGTTTTCATGAACTTCCCCCTTTTTGTATTTACCTTACAGTTTGGTACGTTTGTTAATACTTTTATTTATGCAATAATGATTATATATTTTGTATGCATATATCGAAAAATTATAAATTCATATTGTTATTCAAATTCTTAATTGCTATTGTCATTCATGGCATATGATAATGTATCAGGAGCTGCAAAACAAATACCCGGTATATATTTTGTACATTTTGTATTTTAATTTTAGTTGTAATATATGTAGTGACTTCTTCTGAAAAACTTTGCTTTTAATTTTACAAATAGTTCAATAAAATACTGTGTAATATATAAATCAATAAAACTGTATGTATTAGTTTTGGGAAACTGTTTTCTGTAAACATAAATACACCGTACTATGATAAAGTGTTGTAGCTTTGAGGTGAGCGTGCTTGATACTCACCAACTCTCCCTCTCTATTTCTCTTTCTTTGAGTGTGTATTAAATGTATATTTCGTAACTGAAAGTGGACTCATCATTGCGGTAATACAAAAACAACATATCGAATCAATATGTTATTAAGAACGGATCAAGCAATACCACTAATTTAAAGAGATTAATCATCACATTACTGACAATGAATTAGACATTCCTAAAAAATTGATGTTATTAAACAGTTGTAAGACCTATTCATATTTTGCTGTTCGGTTTGAGTGCCCTGAATTTGATGCTGCATAACTTGCTTATAATTCAACTTCCCATTCTTGCTTGTTACGAAAGGACGTAACTGCATTTTATCCAAGGACACTTGTCGCAGGAACGCATATGGAAATCGGTATGTAAAATAAATTTAATTTAGGCATAATCATTTTCGATGAGAATTTCATGAGATGTCTACTATTTTAAAACAGTAAACCGAAAAACAGTGCAAAGGAAAACAATTAAGATAATTTTATTAAAGTTACAGGATTCTGTCTTTCATCGATTTTAAGTGCAAAAACACACGTTTTTGAAATATTAACCTCAACCCTGTAAGCATTTCAACAGATCTTTATTGCCAGAGACTTCATTGACTGTCTACAAATATCCCTATGTTTATAACGGGGTTCATTATGGTGCTGCTCAGTCCTAATTTTTCTATGTACTTGTTTGTCTTTTCCTAGTCTTTTGGTTTTTTTTGCAAAGCGGTAGTCAGTTTTTCCTCAACTTATGTGTTTTTATAACCCATTGGTTTCTTCCGCCTCTTTTTATACATCGGTTCCGATCTGATTAGTGCACTGGACAGTTCCTCTACGCAGGAAATGATTACTCTCCTGATAATATGATGCCACTTACAGATAAGGGAACCCTTCGATGACCTTAGATGGATTTGTTGTTTTAGGTCATATTTTGGTCATTTATATCCTCACCGGTTTCGGTTATAATACATCATTGGCGTTCATAATTATACTCTACTTTTAGCGTTCCTGATTAAGGTGAATCAAGTGGTCTAAGTAGTTCATCTTCCTTATCACTAGATTGTCAACCCTTAGGTTGTGAAGGTAGAACACTGCACGTGGCAGAGGCGTTTTTTCCTCAATCTTACATGATTGGTCTTGCCTGTTTTTCTTCCGAAGGGCGGTGGTTTTCTTTTGGGCAAAACGGCCTCCTCCACCGATGAAAAATGTCTGTCACGAAATAGCCAGTAGTCTGAAAGTGGAGCTAAATACCAAAAATTATCAATCAATCAAAATCGTTGTCATATTTTAACATCAAAGAGTGTGAATAATGCAATATATAACAGATTTTCAACCATTATTTTAAATATTCACAAATTCAAAATGTTTGGTGCTGCTAAACATTACTGTTGTAAACAATTTTGATGACCAATGTTTACACATTTTCCCGGGAAGGATTTCATCGCAGGACATATATTTAATAAAGACATAATTTGTACCTAAAGGTAAAATATAGTGTTGTCAACGATTAACCGGTTAATCTGTTACCCGTCAGAAGGACCGAATATCGAATACCAAAAACGCTAAACGGTTAACCGGACCTTTTTTCAGTTTTAATAGGTTTGATATAAATGTGTATTGAAATCATTAAAACATTTTGTTGAATTTGAAAATGATGGTTGTGGTAATTAATTTGACATATCAATTGTCCAGTGTATTGATTGCTATTGTTAACCTTGAAAACATTCTAATTTTACCAATAAATTAGCACAAAGACAACTTGCGATCAGCCCGGGGGAAGATCTAAAGTAAACATAATTAGCATACATGTATTTCAAACAGTTGTAAGCTGATTTCATTTTACGATTTACTTTATTATTTCATTTTTGATTTAATATCAAGCAGACCTACTATTAGTTACATGGTGTGTTAGTGACCTAATACGATATATATATGGAATTCATTGACCCCATATATATCGTATTAGGTCACTAGCACACCGTGTAACGAATTTATCTTACCGACTATCTTCACATGTGGTACTTAGACTAGCAGCCTATCAAAGTGATTACGTCTTCAATACTTAGTATTAAGAACCTATATCCATTTGTCTATACAAAAAAAATGCCAACAATTACAACTTGTTTGCTTTAAATTTGATTTATGAATTTATGTCTATCGTTCATTATCAAATTCTTCGTCTGTTGAAAAACCTTTCAAATTTCTTTTTTGTTTTGAAAGGGAAATAACTCCTTACTAACCCCATATGGTAACTAACCCCATATTTTTTAGGACACCCTATATCAAATATATGTAGTCACCACGCGTAGTCCAATCATATCCCAAGAAATCTATAGGAGGTAAGATAAATGTAAATATGCCACCTCCATCGTACAAGGTTTTGTCATACTTAAAACGAAATGACGACTCAAAATCATTTTGTGAAATGTTAGTCATGTGAATGGATTAATGTATACTAACACGCTTAAACACTCCACATTATTTTGTGAGACACCAGTGAAAATTAAACAATTAACTGTTTCAGACATTGTCAATTCGACGAGATCAAGATAATTTTCATCTAATCAACCTGAAGTTATTACAAACTTCATAGTAGATACCGTATAATTGGATTATTAAAAGTAAAACTTTACGAGGAATGCTCAAAGCTTAGCATTATAATGCCCAAGGATAAACTTCAATGTATCGTATCATAAAAACGTACATTTAGGGTACTGATAATGCCTTAAAACATCAACTTAAGTACCGGTTAACCGGTTAATCGGTCGAAAGATTATCCGAGTAACCGGTTAGGCAAAACTGTTTGATTTGACAACACTAGTAAAACACGTCTTTAACTGCGATTGAAGATTGGTTCTGGTTAAGAATGATAATAGATGTATAGTTCATGTGTTTAATAAATATATTGAATGAAACAACGTCCGATGCGCTTTTCTGGATTTACTTTCATTAGGAACGCTCAAAGCCGAATATTTGAAAGCCAAGGATGTATAAGAACCGAAACAGTTGAAGAGCTATATTACAAAAAGGACCTAAAAAAATAGGCAAAACAATCCAAGGTCAACTTTGCCTGAGGGAGTTGAAACGTTAGTTTCCATATAATTTCAAAATTTATAAACGGACAATTTTAGAAAGGTTTGTTATAAATCATGTCATCTAAAGTACTGACTACTGAGCTTGTAGTCCACCAGCAGAAGTATCGACCCAGTGCTGTAAAAAATGAAAACAACGTTAACACGTCATTAATTTCATGCACCGAAAGCTCTTGTCTGGATTAAAATGACTCAAACAGACGATAACTAAAAAAGGTTACAATTTTTAAACCAAAACCCATATGAACGTTTTTGACAAAAATAATAGAACAATGCATGATTGGCATAACCGTTACTAACAAAGACAAAACACTTAAGGACAGAAAAAACAATATACGACAGTATAAGATAAGACTGAAAATGTTTTCTAATATTTGATTTTTTTAATTTTCTGTACACAATATCTTTTGATATTTTTATAATTTTATATTGTTGGAAAACTTTCAGGCATTGCATCTGTATTAAAGAATTCTAAGGACATTTCTACATTACCGATTATTTTTCCTTTCATGATGCCATGAACAAGTTGAGACTATTCAATCCATTCTTTTGAAAGCGGTTTTATTGAGACAGATTACGCCATTTCGTTGTACAAATTAGTTAAATTTAAATGTTATAAATTTATGATCAGTAAAAAAAATCTCAAAAATCCATAAATAAGACAATTCAAGGTTACATGCAAATATTACAAGAATCGTATGAACTCCAAAAAGTGAGAGACCGGATGTGTCGTCAGGGTAAGCGTCTTCTGTGCGCTATGCATGCATCATTCGCCAAATCAACACTCAGTCAAAATTACAAATTGGAAATGAGAAACAATTTGTAAAAAAACCAATAAGATTATCGTTCTATCAATTTTAAAACCTACGAAATTGTTCTTTTTATGACTTACTACTGAAGAATTAAGCTTGTCTCTTCGTAACGCTTTCTTGGTTTCCCTTAATTTGATGGGTTTACCTGACCATCAGGTTATAGTAATGATGGAGGCTTGAGATGCACAGCAAAGATGCATTTTTGCAATCCGTTCATGTAAATTATTGAATGAAAAATTAAAGATGTTTATCTAAGGGATTTTAAACTGCTGGTCACTTATGATGGAGAAACTAAAATAGTGCTTTGGTAAATTGAGAGTGCGTCAACCTGCAGAATTCGCAGTGAACTGTAATATATTATTCGTCTTCTAGGTTATTAATGAAAATGTATATACAAATCAACTGTAGATTGATGTTTGGTTCTTTTACATTTTTATCCATATCTTTATTATAGCAGGCGGCGAAACATTGAATGATCTTCCTTGATTAACAATGCAAAATTGTACTAGTTGGAAAAAAAAATCTGTCAGGTATTTCATGAAATTGTCCTTCGAAATTAACGACTGTTCGCGATTGGTGAATTGGTGACAAGAATTATCAATATAAAAAAAAATAGTGCAGTACAATTTGAAGACAATTATTTTCGGCAAAGACAAAAGCCTTAAGAATAGTTTGTCGTTGGAAATATTCCCATTGCCTTCAGAAAAACGCATCATTATTTCCTGTTACAAAGACAATATAAAGTGCAGTACAAGTCGAAGAACATTCTTTTTGGCAAACACCATCTTTAGAAATATTCTCATTGCCTTCATTGCCTTCAGACAAACGCATAATCATATCCTGTTACAAAGACAATATATGACCGTACAATATTTAAAAAATGGCAAACAATTGTATCAATCAGAAATTTTGTAATTGATGTTATCATTAGTATTTCCATATTCCCTTTGTTTTCCCAGGTTTCCGTCAACATCAATTTATCTAAGGGGCTTAATGCATTAAAAAAAAACTCATCA